CGTCAGCTTCCCCGGATTTTTATACTAGTTCTTTGAAGAACATTGACACAGACTGCAAAAACTTTTTTTTTTTTTTTTCAATTCTGGAGTTAGTGATAACAATTGATGACATGTCATGTGATACCTATTATGCTCACCTGCCTATTAAAACATAGTGTTATTGATTTAAAAAAATAAATTAAATTAAATTAAATATCCTAACTGTGCTTATACTACAGCTACATTTTTTTTTATCAATTCATGATTGTTTTGTTTTCATTTTTTTTCCTCACTACTGGTAATTTATTACTCTGCCAAATAATTATATAGCTTTAATAAATGATATATGATGATGATGACAATGATTATTATTATGATACAGCCACCAAATGGTCTAGTTTGGAGTCTAAATGCTATATAATTAATAAAGAACAGGACTCCATATCACTAGCATATCCATACTTAAGCTTGTCCAATTAGGAAAATATTTCAGTTTATTAATTTAAACAAGATTTGGCTTCATTCAACTTTGGAGCTCATCTGAAATTTTTGGTTTAATTTTTTCGTAATTGGACAACATGGAGCCTACTATATATAATTATATAAGACATACAAAGATTCCAAGGCATCTTTATATGTATGTTACTAAAGCATATTATAAGTTTTAAGCCTTATAACCTCAACATAAGATGGATCATTTTCCCTTAACTCGCCTTAACTCGCCTTAACTCGCACAAACTCGCAACTAATAGGCGAGCTCAATTTTTCCTTATCTCGCCTTAACTCGCCTAAACTCGCATTAGCTCGCACAATCTCGCGGCGAGTTAAGGTCCCAGAGTAGGCCTATAGTTACAAAATGCAAATTGACTTGCCTTGCCGTAAATTGTCAAAGCATCAAGAACAAAGTCGCTGATATTGCTGCAATCGTCGATCAATATAAACCAGATATAATTCTCGGTAATGAGTCCTGGTTATACCCAGATATTGAGAGCAGCGAAATCTTCCCAGATAACTATAACATCTATCGGAAAGACCGCATATCTGACAACCATGGTGGCGTTTTCCAAGGAGTGAAGAAAGACATTATCGTTACTCATCGCGATGATTTGAATACGGACTGTGAGATTATTTGGACCCAATGTCAGATCCAAAATAAGAGATCAAAATCTCTATTCTTCGCTTCCTTCTATCGCCCAAACAAGACCGATATAAGCAGTCTACATGAACTTGACTCATCTTTATTCAAATTAGGCGATAGATTAAATACTAGCAATGTAATCGTGGCGGGAGATTTCAACGCCCCGGACCTCAAATGGAACGACCTTGAATCAACAAATTGCTCCTTCAATTCTGAACAGCTACTTGAAATCATCGATGAACATGGACTTACCCAACTAGTAAAGGAACCTACTAGAGATGACAACATTCTCGATCTTGTGTTGACAAATAATGTCAATATCATCAACAATGTTAGGGTAATCCCGGGAATAAGCGATCACGATATGGTTCTTTTTGAAGTGAACTTGGCATGTAGAAAGAAAAAGCCAGTGAGACGCAAGATTTATATGAGGAAAAGGGCAGATACCACCCGTATAAAGAAAGAATTACAAGACTTTGCGAATGACTTTGAAGAGATGAAGAACGAATCCGTAGACGCAAAGTGGAATATATTTCAACAAAGGCTCACTGGAATTATGGACTCCTGTATACCACACAAGTTCACTACCTCACGCCATAACCTACCGTGGTTTAACCGTAGCTTGAGAAGACAGACAAGGAAAAAGCAAAGGCTATACAACAGGGCGAAGAAATCTGGAAGGCAATCCGATTGGAATAAATTTAAACTAGTCAGGAAACAATTACACAAGAACTTGAATGAGTCCAGGAACAATTATCTTTCTGACTTTCTCGGTGATTCTATAAAACAAAACCCGAAGGCTTTTTGGTCACACATCAAAAAACTAGGAAAAGAGGGTACAGATACCCAAGACCTCAACGTTGGAAATGAAGTGTTTACCGAACCGAGAGCTAAGGCCGAAGTGCTAAATAGTCAGTTCTCCAGTGTTTTCAACAACGAAGAATCAGAGAATATCCCAGACCCTGGTGAAAGCCCTATTCCGACTATTGGAACAATAAACATCACAACCTGTGGAGTTGAAAAGCAACTTAGCGAGTTGAAGGTAGATAAAGCGTATGGCCCGGATGGAATTCCACCCTGGTTTTTAAAGGAGAATGCCCATGAAATATCAAAGGTTCTTACTGATATATATCAAGATTGTATTGATACCGGAACTGTGCCTATCCAATGGAAACACGCCAACGTATGCGCTATTCACAAGAAAGGAAAGAAATCGGATCCTTCAAATTATAGGCCCGTGTCACTTACCTGCATCGCATCAAAGGTACTTGAGCATATTGTACACAGCCATGTTATGAAGCATCTTTCACGATATGGAGTGCTCACTGATTGTCAACATGGCTTTAGAGCGAAACGATCAACAGAAACACAGCTCATATGTACCATTCATGATATAGCAAGTGCTATCCAGTCTAACAAAACAATTCACGCCGCAATCCTTGATTTTTCAAAAGCATTCGACAAAGTTCCCCATCGCCGACTCTTGAAGAAACTTGATTATTACGGAATTCGTGGCCCACTACATAACTGGTTTGAATCGTTTCTAACACAGCGTACCCAATCAGTGGTAATTGAGGGGGCATCATCTGCCCCTGTAGTTACGACATCTGGTGTTCCCCAAGGAACAGTCTTAGGACCGCTACTGTTCTTAATGTATATAAATGATTTACCTGATAGTCTTAACTCTACTGTTAGACTTTTTGCTGATGATGCATTGTTATATGGGACAATTTGTTGTGATGAAGACACAGCCGATCTCCAAGAGGACTTGTATAGATTAGAAGATTGGCAACAAAAGTGGAAGATGGAATTTAATCCTTCAAAGTGCAAGATCATGTGTTTTACAACCAAGAGAGATCCACCAAAGCGGGAATACGTATTCTGTGGACAAATCCTAGAAGAAGTGGAATCTCACCCTTATCTGGGGGTAGTCCTCGATAACAAAATGAGGTGGTCACCACACATTGAAACAATCACATCTAGGGCAAATAAGGTCTTGGGACTTATCAAGCGAAACCTGTGGAATTGTCCAAAGTCAGTGAAAGAAACCGTGTATATGACACTTGTGAGGCCAAAACTCCAGTATGCCTGTAGCGCATGGGACCCACATTACCAGAAAGATAAAGCCGCTCTAGAAAGGGTACAGCGGAAAGCAGCCCGCTTTGTCACTGGAAATTACGATCGAACAACGAGCGTGACGGAAATGCTGCAAGACCTACAGTGGGACACACTTGAAACAATGAGAAGACACGCAAGGCTCTCCACTATATACAAGATGTGCCACGGCCTCCTAGATGGGGATTGGGGGGATTATTTGATAACAAGCAAAGAAAGGAGAACCCGGGGAAGCCATGATTTTAAATTTATTGTACCGAAAGGACATATAGATATTTTTAGATTTTCTTTTTTCCCAGGACAATAACTGAATGGAACAGACTTCCAGAAGAAACTGTTTCCAGCCAATCCCTCTGTATTTTTAAAAGCAAACTAATTTAGTTTTATTTTTATCAGTAGTTTTTAATAGTTTTTGATAGTTTTGTATATTTTAGTATAGTTTTATTTATTATTATCTTAAAGTTGGCGTGATGTCCCAAACGATTTTGCCGACATAACGATATTTAGATTTAGATTTAGATTTAGACGCAATTTAAAACTCTATTTTCCCATATCATCGTTGCCATGGCAACCTAACTGCGAGGACATTTGCATATGCAAAAGGTTCAAGCTCATGTCTCTAGCAAATGACGTTAAAATCAGTCGTAAATATGGACATTTTTTGGAAAACATCATTTTAGGGCATTTTTGGCGCTCTGTTGGGCGTTGCCCTGCCCACCACTCACTCCTCAAAAAAAAGGCCATGGATGCGTTGTAAAGGTAAACAGCTACCAATTTGGTTACAATAAAAACCACGCTATAGTCACGTAGTTTTTTTTTACCACTATATATTGTTTTTTTTTTTATAGTTTGATTAAAAGTAGCAACGAAAACAATGAGAAAATAGTGTTTCACAGATGACCTAAGGATTTCCATAGTAACCGTTAGCATGGCAACATGCAGTGTAAATGCAAACATGGAATGTAATAAATATGAACTTGTTTAAAAGCAATACAAGTTTTTACCCATATTTGATTGGCACTTACAAAGTTATTTGTTTTTTAATAACACAGAAGTTCATGAGACAAAAAATGCTCCCCACCCTCCCCCCATTAAAAACGGGCTCTTATCTCGTTAACGTGCACGTTGCCAGCCAGGCAACAAGTGAATTCATAAAATATAGTCAATAAGCTTTAATTTGGTACCAAAATTACTTGGTCCCAAAGGGGGTGCTACGAAAATCACTTTTGGGGGCCTTGGCTCATGGACTATAAGCCGTGTAATTAAACTCCGGAGGTGAAAATGAAAAGTTTCAAAGAAAAGGTCTTAAGACTAAATACAGTCAAATCTCTTTAACCCGAACGGGCCAAGCAACAGAATAAAAGCTTTAAATGCAGAAGGATTCGTGGTATTTCAGAGGGTGGGATAGTCTTACGCGTGGTATAGAGCCACAGAATTTCTTTTAATGGGCCTAGCCAACCAACAACGAACAGGAATAATTACTTAATGCCATTCAAATTTTAAAAAAATCAACACTCCAAGGATTTTTTTAATAAAACTATTGATTTTTTATGATAGCTAGTTCAAAGAACCTTAATCTGCAGTTTAATTGGGACGCGCTACGTGACAAGCACATGAGATATCCTTGAAGGCATCCGTTAACAGTAAGTCTGATTAGGGCCAAGAAGAATGGTAGCTATTCTTTTTGTTCAAAGAGGGACGTAGAGTACACACTAACAACAATTTTCATATATAGTCGGTATTTTATTTATGTAATAATCAAGTTCATTTACCTCGACGTTCTCCGATAGTAGTTTTGGATGTAGTAGTACATAAGAACGAGAGTGCCTAGGACGCGAAGAAACCACGGTAAACCATAACACGTGATCACCACTGTACCAGCCACGCCAAAGGCCTGGGCTAGAAAGATATTCAGAATGAACGGGAGGCTATCATCTATCGAGTACTGAAAATAAAGGGATTTACAGAAGTGTTGATTAGATAAACGACGTACTCACTGAGTACAAATATACAAGAAGTAAATTAGTGTTACTTACAATGTCGGAGGAAAACCGATTCGCAATTCGTCCAATCTAAAAAACAAGTAGAAGAATGAAAGAAAAAAACGATTTTGTTGACGATCAATGCGTCGCAACATCAGAACATTTCAAAGGCAGCTTATTGAAAATGAAATTCTGAATCAGAGATATAGATTACTTTTGGCAATAGCATGATTAGTATAGGCTAGGCATGGATTGCCGGGTAATATTTACTGAATCCTTCGCCAGATTAGTGTTGGTGTTAGTGTTAGTTCGCAGTTAGTGTTGATAATTCGGAATTCTGATTACAAAGATTAGGACTACCACCACGACGAAAGCGTTTTTAAATGTTGTTGAGTCTTAGTAGTGGCAAGTGGACAAGTCAATGACGTTTATGAGTGACATACGGAGTTACGTCAAAGAATGACACAGGAGCGGACAGAATGCTCTTCAGCAATCTTTCATGAAGGACTTTAGCAGCACATATTCCTCCACAAGCGAACAGAAACTATCGAAGCAGCGTGAAAATCTGCAAAAATAATAATAAAATAAATAACACTGAATACGACAAACCATCGAGTAAAATCGACACTAAGATAGGAGAGTTAGCAAGACTTGTGACTGAGAGTTTAGCCTGCACGTATAGATGTCTACTTTGCGAAACAAAGCCATTTATACGCAAGCTTTTGATTTGAGTTTTTTAAGAGGATGGGGTACAGAAAGGTACAGTTTTCCAGCCTTTTTGAACTAGATTGTTTCGAGGGGATTGGGAGGGATAGCTTCATTTTCCATGTTGAAGTACAGTATACAGTGTCAAAAAAACATGAAATATGTCCTTCAGGGCAAAGGGTCTCAACTAATTTTGTCGCCGATTGTATTTTCTGTTCATTTTCAGTAGACTGCGAGTAGTCTCTCTTTTTCTTCAGATTTCTCGTGAGAGCAAAGCACGAAACGAGGGCGGCAGCCTCTCCCGTCTCGCGCCATAAGTCACGCGCGTGGCCATTTGCGTGTCTCGCGTTTTGCTCGACGGACTACAGAAAAAAGTGAGACTACTCGTAGTCTAATTTTCAGAGACTTTATTCACTTCCCTCTTTTTTTAAACAGTAGAAGACTTGAGCCATTCTTATGATAACTGAGGTAAAATTATGACATCAGTGTCAATCACCATATGCTGTAAATGTAGCCTCATTTTCGACTATCGCAATTTGTAATGCAAATTTGACTGCCTGGTGTTTGAAATGTTTTATATTAATGAACTGAGACCTAGTCTCAATGTACAATCAGACTCACCTCGTGCAAAAGTTTTTAAATAGCTCTTTTAATAAGATTCTATTGTTTTTTTTTTTCTGCATGCTTTATTTCATCCTTTTATCATTTTCAAACATTTTTTATAGTTCTCAACATATTTTTACACCTTAGACATACGTATGCTAGTTCTTTTTACTTTTTTTTACTTACTTGAAAATAACCGAAGATCAGTCAAAACGTCGTTTTTTATCTGTGATTTTTACTGTGTTAAGTTTTAGAAAACCCTCACTTATAAGGGTTCAAAATTTACATGCATAGATTACCAAATTTTCTTACCCATGGTGCTCCGCGAAATACCAACTATTCGATGTAAGATCGTCTGAATGGACTACTTTCGAGAGACTCTAGGAAATTGGCACCAACAGATCGGCGCGTAAAGGTGAATATTCCGGGCTTCATTCAACTGCTTGGTAAGGTCATACCCTCCAAGTCAGACGTACCTTGAGGGTGACAGTTTATAAGAAAGGAAACTGATTATGAATTTTTTTTTTCGTTATATAAGATGGCGTCGAAAACCGTGACAAGGTCTGTTGGTACTGAGATCAGTAGTTCAAGATTTATCGAAGAGCAACGAATGCAACTGACAGAAATATAAAGAATAAAGACATTTTTGAAGATCGGGCTGTGAAAAAGAAAAATTCCGCTTCAGCAAATTTTCCTGTCCCTTAGATACTACCTATAGGCAACAGGCCTACAACATGTCAAAAAGGTGGCTACGCCCCTGGATTGGGAGTGCAAATAAACCTTTTAGCGAGCTACATTCGCATACGGCGGGATTTCAAGTCTTGGTCGGTTTGATTCGGCCTATAGTGATAGGGTTCTCAATGCATGTAGAAAGCAGGACACTGGACGGACTGGGTGTTGATGAAAGCGTTGCGATTGTCCAACTAGTAGACATTTTTCTACTTTCGATTTAAATCCCTCAAATAAAGCTGCTACAACCAGATAAGGAACCATAACACTTCTCAAATCATCATGATACCGCGACTGCGGTGTATACGCGGTTCCATTGAAATAGTCAAATTCTATTTTCTGATCAAATTGCGCCACCCTCAACGTCATAAGCTCGCCCCGATACCGGCCGAAAGTTTGCCCGGCTCCCTCAAAATTTCAGGTGATGAGCAACCGTCCTTACTTAATATAAGATAAGATAAGGTGCTTTATTTTAAGAGGCGCATACTCTTAGCAACATGGGTAGTTAAAAAAGAAAATCTCACTAGCTAATTCACAGGAATGCCATTGTAAATGAAACATTATTAAACTAAAAATGATTAAAACAATATAAAAGCTAATTACAATTAAAAAAATAAGTTAAAAAAGTGACAGCAACCGTTCTATCCTTGTTACCATGCATTTTTGTAATGCTTTTTACTCAAAGATTTAGATTGTACATGCTTTGTTTGTTCCCCTTAAGTGAGCCATACAACCCACCTAGCTGATGGACTAAAAGTGTTACAGGCATGCACAGGTCATTTCGGTGTTGCACTTGAAAACAAGAGAACGGTTTACCAGGCTGTAAATATATACATTCTAGGATGTAAAGTTTTTAATGGTTCAAATCCGTCAAGGGGGAGGGATTCTTACCATTAAAGATTGATTTTTACAGTAGTTTTCATTACGCGGGTACCTGATAACCAGTTTCTGGACTAAGAGTACATGTATTGACCACTTCGAATAAAAAGTATTTATCTTATCTTATGTGATCTCATTTTATCTTATATTATATGATCTGATCTCGTTTGATCTGATCTGCTCTTATCTTATCGAGTCGCTTCTCTTTACTCTTTTAAGGCGTCTCTAAGCGTTCAAGTAACCTTCTGCTTAACAAAAACGAAATCAGTTTCGGCAAAGGAGAAATAAACACTCTGCATGTGCTATAGGTCAAGGTGACCTAAGGTCAATGTACTAGAGGTGATATTGGTGATGACTTTTCTTTATTTGGTGGTTCCGGTGGTTGAATAAGTGGGCGAGTTTTACTTACCACTGACTTTCTTGTTGGCTGGTTTTTTAACCGAGGAGTTGCTTTCTTTCGCTTTCTTAAGCAACGGCTTCTTTGTTGCAGTCTTCTTTGGCACGAGAGGTGTCTTCTTCTCGCTGCTGGAAATTTCTTACCCGGCGATTTCTTCGTTTTCTCGGCTTGTTTACGGGCGGTCTTTTCTTTCGCGGCGACCTTCCTAATTTTTGGTTTGTTGGCTGGATCAGCGGTTTTGGTCTTCTTCACCGGGTCTTTGGCTGCCTTTGCTTTCTGTTCTTCTTCGTTGACCTTGAAGGAACCTGAAGCTTCAGAAGGCCTTTGATGTTGATGAATTGACCAGTCTCCACGCCTCTCTTAAGAGCCATTTTAATAAAATGACTTGCTTTGTCTCCCACTTTGAAATGATTCTTAACGTACTTGTCGACAGCCTTTGGATCTCAGCACTCAGATACTCAAGTACGGCAGCTAATTACACGGGAGCATCAGCTCCGACGCGTCCAGCGTAGTTGCCCTTACGAAGGCGGTGGATGCGACCAACAGGAAACTGTAGACCTGCCCTGGAAGAACGAGTCTTTGACTTGGTGTCCTGGGCTTTACCTTTTCCTCGTCCGGTCATTTTGTCTAGTAAAAGGAGACTGTTTTGCAAAACATAAGTTCGGCCACCAAAATTTATCACGCGCGGACTGCGTTTAGTGGATCAGATTGCACCAATCAAAAGTCTAACATTGCCTCATAAAAAGAAATTCTACCCTCGCAATTGTTTTCTCTGTCTCGATTGGCGGCACGCTCAATTGTTTACACCGAGAGAAAAAAATACCAATCACCGACAAGAACTTGCGATCCGCATATTAATTGATTGAATTTGGCAACATGAATAGAAACTGTGCTATCCCGAATTACCGAACTCGATTTCGAAAAGGCAGAGATATCTTTCTTTACCATGAAACCTAAACCGATTGCAGCTGAAAAAAGGAGAGAAGAATAGCGGCGGTAAGGCAAAATCCACGTCGGGCGACAGTGCGAAGAAACGGTGATCGAAACGGAAGGACAGTTATGGGATATTCATCCGTAAAGTGTTAAAGCAGGTACATCCGGAATCTCCAGCAAAGCAATGGGTATCATGAACTCTTTTGTGAAAGATATCTTCGAGGGCATTGCTACAGATTCCTCCCGTCTAGCCCACTACAACAAGAAGTTGACTATCAGCTCCCGCGAGATTCAGACGAACCATCAGACTGCTCCTTCCAGCAAAACTCGCATAGCACGTGGTCAGTGAGGGCACCAAGGCCGTCACGAAGTACACTAGTAGCAAGTGAAGTCCATTCTTCAATACCAGATCTAAACAAATTTACGGCTCTTTTAGAAGCCACCAAACGCCAAAGAAAGCAATGATCAACACATTTTCTTAGCGTTTTAAATCGTCGTTATAAACCCTGACACTCTTCGCACACTTGCTCCCATTAAAAAATTTCAATGAACGAACAAATCATTCCTCTATTTCCCAGTTCAACTTTACTTTTTACATCAAAAAAGAATACAGATAAAGTTTCCAAAAGATTTATATCTTTATTAACAATGTACGCACAGCGGAATAATTACAGTGCGTACATTGTTTATGCGCTGCTCATTGATTCCCGTAGAAAAACACTTCAACGATCTCCTCTCTACTCTACGTTGATTACCATGATCGGAATCAGATTCAGAGTCCTTACATTTAAATTCATTGTAAAGGAACTTCTTTTCAAGAGCTTACCTCAATATCAGATGAGACAATTACCACAGAAATGAAAAAGAAAAAGGGGCCACTGCTGTGAGGATGTGAAATACGACCCTGGCTACTATGAAATGGTACATACGATGTTTTGCTTTGAATTTCTTTATCGGCGATGAACTGAGCAGCTAGCTACATTAAACATTCACTCATATATTAACCTGCCACATGACTTTTGAATATAGTATCAAACATTTCTCCTTGTATTTGGTACGCCAAAGTTAACTTGAATAGGCGATTTCCAAATTTGAAAATCTCTCACTTTCAAAACAAGGCTAAATGTAAGTGTAAAAACGTTTCTTGTGAAAATGAGTTTTATAGTTTTTATGATTTTCATAGTGGCTTCACACTTTAATAGCCTTGTTTGAAATCAGAGGCCTGGGTCAACTCGGAATGACGTATCACGCGCATCCCCACCCCCCCCACATCCTGTTTTGCCCGCGCTCAATGGCTCCAGGAACCCCTTTTCAAGAGCTTAGATACTAGCAACATCTTTTTCTTGCTCTTGCCGGTGATACCGAAATAAAGTGTAAAGACTGGAGCTTAAAGTGAAAACTGGATAAGTTCTTAAGTTTTATTTAACATTCAGCTGGCACCATTTTTACGTGGAAAGCAAATGGCAATCATCATCGCAATAACTATAATCACTTATTGAAAGTTGTAAATTCTAAAAATTCAAATGTGTCACAAATCATGTGCAAATATCAGATGTTTTCGATCTCTTGTAAATTCCCTGGTGCTGTTATTTTAATAAATGACTTTGACGTTTTTCGGTTGTCACGGGAAGTTAGAATTCTTTTATGACCAGTGAACATCTTTTATAAATTGTGGCGGACGGCGCAATTCGCGCCACACTCCACTATCTGAACGCCTGAAACAGGCCATTTTACCTTCTTCGGTCCGCATTAAAACAGAGGAATTTCCATACAATTTATACACGGAAAATTTCCTTTATAGTTTGTTTTCCTTTAACTAACTGAACGTATAGTGCGCGTGTAAGGCAATTTAGACGGCAAAAAAGGCTTTAAGATTAGTTTCCAGCTCATTTGAAAATCATTAAATGACGCTGTTATTTAACAATTAATGAATGAGGCTGAGTATCTTATGAAGAATTATGGAGATCGAGGAGGGTCTTATCCGTCGAGGCCGTAAAGATCTCCATAATTCTTCATATGATACGAAAGCCGAATTCAATAATTGTTTTTTTGTTCATTTAAAATAATTCCTAGTTTAAAAACATAGCTAAAACAAGCTTACCTGCATCGATGTTGAGTTTATCTTCGATAGTTTACGTTTGGGTTTGTGCAGCCCCGCAAATATTCCCCAAATAGCAGATGTCGCCCTCCGAGTTGTCTTCTTGCTGTTTTTGCTATGTTTTTAGCCACTATTTCGCCTAGTTCCAGCTGTCGTTCTTACTCTTGAAACGAGTGAAGTGTCCGCTATTTTAGTTTTTACAACGAAAACAACTCAATCTCGTCCCCAGGTCTTCTCGGTTAACGGTGCATTAACCTGTAGAAGGCTACATTTTTGACGTCATTTCCTCGTTAAACACAAAATTCTTCCAAATTTGGTCATCAGTAACTGGTTATGGTGAATTATACGTGTGCTTTTAGCCAATCAGAATTGGGGAAATATTTTGAATGAATAATAAAAGATCTTAAACCGACGTTTCGGCAATGTTGCCTTCTTCAGGGTATAAAACTTTATAAACTATCTAAGACAGTACGCGCGTTCTGATTGGCTAAAATCTTATGGTTTATTGTGCCGGTGAACTGATAGAAAACGTAAAGTTAATTTATAAAAGCAAGAGACCACACTTTCTGTGGGTTCACAGGCGTGATAACCTACTTGGGATGTTGGAAGAACACTCGAAAAGCTTGTAAATCACTCGCCTTCGGCTCGTGATTTACAAGCTTTTCGAGTGTTCTCCCAACATCCCGCGTGGGTTATCACGCCGGTAAACCCATAGAGAGTGTGGTCTATTGCTTAAATAAACCGTTAAAACGTTAAGAAGGCAGCATTGCCGAAAGGTCAGCTTAAGATCTTATGACAGCGTTAATTTTATAATTTTCAAATGAACATCAAGTAAGTACATACGCTTTGTAGAAATTTTAATCTCTATTACTCTAGTTTCCAGTTCCCTTTTGGGCGCTCGGTAAGTACATTTCGTTTTCAGACGAGGCAATATTATTTTAGAATCTAAATGATATTAAAGTGACTAACACTTCTGACCGTCAGTTGTTCAAATGTATTTGCTCCAAAAAATATTGCGCATAAGAAAAATGCATATTAGACCGTTATTATTCGACACCTTTAAATGCAGACTGTCATCATACAGCACCGAGTGCACAATTATTAAGGTGGCTCGATACAGTTTTTCAGGGTCAATACCTCTTAAGTTTGAGCGTAAACTACGTCGCCATAAACAAAGATTTGGAAAAATTGACACCACAGGTGTATTAAATAAAGATTAAAATTTGTTATGATCAGGGTTGCCATGACATCGGGGTTGTCATAGCAACGAAATGACGCAATTACCTACTTTACTTGCAGCAGTATTTCTCGGCACTGGGAACTGTTCTTCTAAAATCGTTTCGTGAAGCTTAAGCGAAATATGTAAGAGAGTTATCGAGATATTTTGAGAAGAAGTTTTTATGGTGAGAAATACGGTAAAAAATGGAGAATCTTGGTGTTTGATGGTTATCTGTACTAAACGAAGCGCTTTTGACATGCAATTTCACCTCATAGTAGTTTTAATCTTTTTAAAAACGTGTGTGAAAGATCATGGAGATACCTCCAGCCGATTGCTAGAAAGAAGGATTTGATTAGAACGAATCGAGGCGCTCCTGTTAGTGGTAATGTAAACATTTCGGTCTACTTTACCCAAATTAGCGAATAATTTTTAAACCGCTCGATAGATTTTTTAAAAAGTTTAAGAGTCTTGAGATAAACCGTCCTTTTATATGGCATCTTAGTTTCAAGATTAATAATGTATTGTAAGGTAGTAAAATAAGGGCTACAATTCGCTAATATTTTGTCAGAAATTTTGTGTTTACAAGTGAGAGCCTCCTATTATTCAGGGGTATTGTCTCAAAGTTTCATTTTCACGTGAACAGAAAATGCTAGCTATTGTTGTACACGAAAATATGAAATCTTTGTTTATAGCGGCGTAGTTTACGCTCAAACTTGGGAGGTATTGACCCTGAAAAACTGTATCAAGCCACCTTAACCTCCATCCAAAATATTAAAACTGGGGCTAAAACGGTCATCGTACGCGTGGAAGTTTGCCTTTGAGAGGAGTGGGTGATAAGCATGAGTTGCGTTTATGGATCCATCCTCTGAAGTCTTGGAAGGCAGGTCAACATGTCATCTATGTCATCACATCCATAGCCACGTGAACTGTACCAGTTATCCATATCCCCTTGATAGAAAAGTTCATATTGAACAGGCAAGGTCCTCTTAATTTCCCGAAACACTGAAATGAGATCTAATGTCTGCCAACGTTTGTTTAATACCTCTAACATCGTAGCTAGAGCCCCTCTCTCATTGATCAGCACTCGAAGAGTTTCCTGAGACGTTTTTTGTTCGTAAAAGTCTCTCAGGCACCAGATATCGGTTATCACAAGCTTCGTGTTCGAAATGAGACCCAATTTTTCTGCCCAAAATTCCTGTGTGGTCCTTATAAATTCATCAGCAATAAAGAGACTGTTTCTATCAGTCAGCTGAATCACAACAAAAAGGGTCGATTCCCTATCTGGAAAAAAAGAAAAATCGAATCATGCGTTTTTCTTCGTTCAGTTTCCAATTAATAACCGCATTATTAGCCCATTTCCCTGAATGCCGTTTAAAGACTAATAAATATGTTTGCAGTGCTTTTGGCTCGAAGCTTAATACTTGGAAATACTATATAGTTCCGAAATGTGGTACCACTAACCAGAAAGAGGGTGAGTTTTCCTGAAATATGATGCTCGGCATTAAAATACTTCTAAAACTACCTAAAAGTCATAAGCAAGTCCTGGTAACATGGTTGCAAATTATGTCACGTGACCTCACATGTGACCCATTTGTGTAAAAAAAACAACCTATTTTCCTAATTCTGGCCCATTTAAATTCCTGTTGTCGGTGCATTTACGACTGAAATAATATTTGGCCTTTGTTTCTCTTTCCAAAGTCAATTTCTCGGCTTAATTCGACAAAATCTTTATTTTACATTATGTTACACGACTTTAAATATTATTTTAGTCGTAAATGCTCCGTTATGGACCAGAATTGGGAAATAGGTTGGGTTTTTTTACACAAAAAGGTCACGTGTGGAGTCACGTGACAAAATTTGCAACCATGTTACCACTCAAATTGTAGATATAGACTTGCTTATGACTTTTAGGTAGTTTTAGAAGTATTTTAATGCCTAACGTTAAAGTTCTAAAGCAAATACTGACTGAGCCTCTTTTTTATCACCCCCTCTCCGTATCTAGTTAGAGGTACCATACTTTGGAACTAGATAGTACCTAACTTGAAAGAGCGGTTTGTCTTCTTTACAAATCTGATGTCAGACCTTTTCGGTTGGGTGGGTAGCGCAAAACAGCATTTTTTGGAGTCCAGCTCCTTGACGAGTAGAGTTCTTAAGCCGGCCCTTAGACTCTTTTGTAATGATGTTTTATCGGGACTTTAAGGTGCACAACATTTTATAGCATTCGTGTCATCTTGACCTTACAGACCACTAAAAACGTCACACTAATTAATTCCGTCACAATTTGTGAGCAAAACGCAAACGATTTTGCACGGTCAGGGAGCTACCTACACAAACTGCAGCACCGTTGTTTTTATCTTTGCCGCCTTTTATAACCAGTTTCATGTACTACTATGGTTCAACAGTCTCACCTGAAACAAAATCCAAGAGGCTTTAATATTGACTGAAATTTAACATTTTTTGGATGAAGCTGTTGATATGAGCAACGAATCCAGTGCATCAAGGAGGTGTGATCCGCCGAAGCCTGAAGGAACCTAGATAAAAACCTTCGATCCCCTTACTAAAACTGACCTACACCACAATAACGATTTAGAGAGAGGTGGCACAACCACATAGCGATTCTTCGTCTACCATACCTGGTCGAACTGGAATTTGGAAATGTTGGTTTTTGAGGGGAGGGCTAATCGGAGTACCCAGAGAAAAACCTCCCAGAGCAAAGGAAACTGAAGAGCCAACAAAGCTCCAACCATATATGTTGTTGACGCCTGGATTTGAACCAGAGCCACACTGGTCTAGGGGAGGCGAGTGCTCTCACCAATACTGTCATCCCTTGCTCCCCCTTAACTACCAGGTATTGCTCATGGTATCAAGGTGCGTTTTGTACATGTTCAATCAAACCATTTGGGCTAATCCGTGGATTGTGCGAACCCCCATTTTCCGGCTATTCAGACTCTTAATGACAAGGCTGCAGGCGGCAGAGGTCATATATGACAAGGCGGTAGCTTTCATCGGACATAAAGTAGAGCCGCTCGTTTTTTCATAAAACGATCCATCACCTGGACAATAGATAAAGAATCGCAAGAAACTTGCAAGTCAAAATTATCAAAACAAACCTTCATCATTCGTTTCGCGAATCCATTTGTCCACAACAGTTGAAAACGTCATTTGGAATTTCTTTTTCTCTCTTTCTAGTTCTTCTTGAAGTTCTTCCTGCTTCCGCTTGAAATCGTTCTCCAGCTTCTCTCTTTTTAGTTTTCTCTGCTCTCTTTCCGCTACCAACTCGTGTAGCCTTTTTTTCATTGCTGGTTCCTCTTCGTACGTTTTAAATGTGCTCAGCAGTTGCTGCTCATGATTTGAGTCAGTAGTGGGAGTTTTATTTCTTCCTCTTGTTAACCGACTATCTGGAACCTTTTCTCTCAGCAACTCTTTCAACATCGTTTCTTCTTCCCCTGCTTTTTGGATATTGGCGAATTCCAGTCCTATCTTTTTCGACAACTGTACTTGGTCTTCATAACATTTTTTGAAAGTAGCCTCTGCGGATATTTTAGTTACTTGGCTCTTTGAATTTAGATCTTTGAAAAAAGATTCAATTCTTTCAACGTACGTTTTGTCTTCAGCTGCTATGTTAAAGTACTCCATAACCAAAACCTCTGCTTTGCTAAAGAACTTTGTTGGGCGTTTATTGGCATTTAGTAACTTGTCCATTTCTTTAGCAGGAAGGACACGGAGTTTGCTTGGTCTTACTTTCTCCAGCAACTCTACGAGATCGTATAACTCCAACTTCTTGAAAACGTCTCTTAACAGCGTGACTGGTGTGTCTGGGAACAATTCGATAATTTCTTGCCGTCTCTCTCTGCTGGAATACAATTTTGTACGATCAAGCCCAACCAACCGACAAAACTGCTCCAATGCAGTGTGGTCAATTTGGAGTCTGAATGTTATTTCTGCTGTCACCGCTTTACTTAGATCTTTTAAGCAAAGATTGGAAGTAGAATCTATACGAAAAAAAATCAGATAGAAAAATTTAGAACTACAAAAATATAATTTAGTGATTTTTCCAGTGAAGCTACTGCCAAAGAGGAAACAATACATTTAACACAGTAAATTTTTAACCCCAGGTGGCCCCGGAGATTTTTACAAATCAATACCCAACTCGCTCTCACAGAGGACTAGCTCTCGAAACGTCAACGTTTCAGTCAATTGAATTTAACGACTTAATTTAACAACTGAAAAATAAGGTGGAGTCTTTCTAAGGCCCTGTCCCTGTCGTTAATAAACGCCTTTGAGCAGATGAAATAAAAATAGAAATCACCGAGTCAATGCTTTTCTAAAGAGGTCCTTAAAAATTAGATTTGGACACTGGAAATCTCAGACTCAGACTTGTGTGCTTTCGTCTAAAAGCAATTACTTTGATCTTTCGTTGGTTCACACTACAAAGTACGGATTTTTGAAGGTTGAAGATTAAACGTTACTTAAAACCGTTTGACGGTTCAGACCGTTGCCACCCTTAAATGAACAAACTATGAAGTTTATCCTATAGTCGATAGTCAGTCTTATTACCGCTGAGTTCTTCAGTTCCTTCATGAAGTTCAGATGGAGCTTCTTGTGATCTCGATATTCCACTGTCGCTTGTTTCTGTTGTGAAGCTTTGTGTATCGATATCCTTGGTTTGTGCTAAATAACTCTGAATGTAAGCAACTTTCTCTTGCCACTCCTCCCTCTGCACAACAGGACCTTACATACGATAAAATTAAACTAAATGTTAGTGCAAATGAATGTAAATGAACGTTAAGGAAAAAGAAGGATAGACAAAAAGATACCCAAATAAAGTGACAACGAAAAGGGAATTTGCGCCTAAAATTTTAAGAGTGCTTGCTTTTAGCAGTAAATGTTCTTGCTTGTTTTAGTGGTCTTTTTGCCAGCTTCACGGTTCGCCGGTTTAGTTCGCCGTTTTATCTTTCAACAATATTTTTTCAGTGGGCAAAGGTAAACCTAGGTACAGCAGCCGTATCAACGAAGCGCAACTTGAAGCAAATATTGGGTGAATTGAAACTGCGAAAACAGCCGTTTCTCCTCGCTCCTCGCCGCTGGGGACGTTTGGAGGGACGCGAAACAAACATGGCGGAAAGCAAAGTGAAATGTAGCGGGGGTAAAAAAGTTCAAGACAGCCAAAGGGAAGGTGCATGGCGATGAAAGAAAAAAAAAACATGAAAATATGGAGCAATGAATGAAATCCCATCGTGAAGTTTAAAAATGAGAAATTTAAACTGACGCACAGAATAAATAACTTCCATAGTAAGTAAGTACTCTACTATGTTAGAAATTAAGCCCCGTTGGTGTCTTCCCCTGTCTTCCCTTTATTAATACGCATAACTGTCTTCCTCCATACTAATGAGAGTCTTCCTGCATACTAATTACTGTCTTCCTCTATACTAATTAAGTGCCTAGTCAGTGTCTTCCTGCATACTAATTCGGTACCATTCTGTATATGCTAAAATACAGAATGGTTTAATGGTTGTTTTTTCTAGTTTACTGGGAATGACACCACCAGTATACACACTTACGACGTAAGCATGAAAACGAGGCCTAAGGGCCATCAGATTTCCTACAAACCTTAAAAAGAGTTAATTGGGCCGCGAAAACAAAAACGATTTGTGATTTCTTTAATTGCGATGTGGCTCTTAGGCCTCGCTTTCATGCTTACGTCGTAAGTGTGTATTTACCTTGTGATTCATTAGCCAACTTGTTGCGGACTTTCTCGTACTCTTGTTCGTCAATGGTTACCACCACTTCGACATGTTCTCCATTAGCAAGTTCTTTTATTTCATCTGTGACCAACAAGGCTTGTAAGCTTGCTTTTAGTGTCCCATCCTTGTATAAACACCACAGTGTTTCAAGAGCTGGAAGACTTTCTACCTGGACTTTTAGACACACACACCCCTCGGTCATTTGAATCAGATTAGCACCAGCAGGTAGCACACAGGTATTAACGGCGGTGATGAGCTGATCATACGAAGAGTTACGAATCAACAAGTCAAAGCTTGAAGCAATCATGAAGTATCCTGCCACGACTTTAAACACTGTTTTTATGTTCAGAACTAAAATATAAAGAACAAATTGACAAAAAACTCTTACAGGGTTTTGGATAGTAAGCGGGGGGTTTCTGGGGAAGACAAGATGGGAGGGAGTTTAGATGTGTGAGGCTGTAATATTTTTATCATCTAAACAACATTTTCGACACCTTTCATTCAAAACAGAACAAATTGTTCCCCTCCTTGCTTGACATTTTAGGCCCCGTTTACTTTGAGAAAGTCTGTCCCGCGGGTCACCCACCTAGCCGAGCCAAGATTTTGTTTTTAACATAAACTGTTAGCCACGTTTCGTAGGAAATGTATGAAAAGTTGGCTTTGCTAGGGTAGCTCGGGTAGGCGAATGACCCTTCTACCCGGAACAACTTTTTTCCATTTAAACGGGGCCTAACGTTTGCCGCTCACAAACCATCTGGAAGGAGGTACAGGATTGCATTACATAGGGCATGGAGGGGGAGGTGGGGGAGGTTGCATTTAGCTTGTTTATTTTATTAACCTTTGAAAGTGCAACTAAATTTGTTACTAAAGTCCTTTTAATAACGCAATAAGTGTGTCAAGAATTGTATGCCCGAGCGTCTGGCATAACTAGGAATTGTACCCTTCGATAGCGGGTGGTCGCCGGCTCTCTCAGGATCAGGTTAGGAGGTAGCTCTCTTTAACAATTCTCACGTCATGGCACGCCGTGTTTTTTAGTTATACCGTAAGTTGAACGGCAACCGTATTATCCGATAGAACAATTTCGATACATTAAATTCATTCTTGGCTCATCAATGAATAAGTATGAATTTTACTATAATGAAATTGGTCCGTTACCACTCGATCTCTCTTCCACCGAGACCTCCTATAGTTCTTTTTACGTCACAGGGAAGCTGGGGAGAGGAGAATAGTAAGGGCCACCACGTGCTGACAATCTTGCAATTAATTCAATCTATTTTTATTGGAATACCCATAGAGGAGAAGAGAGAGAGAAATGATCAGGTATGATAATCTAATTTCGAGGGTGTTACAATACAAAACAATACTCTTTCTCTAAATCTATTTTACATGATTCTTTTCTCTTTTAAGTAATTGCCTTGTGTAATAACTGATAGGAGAGATTTAAAGGTGGAATTTTAAGCAATAGTACGTCGTTTAGACTGAGCAAAAAAGGTGGCGCGTAGTGTTAGAACGATTTCAATATTAGAGATGTCCAATGACAGTGTTAGCTATATAAACACACTTTTAGCCTAGCTCACTTGCAGTAGTACAGTCGAACGCACATACTTTGCTTCTCTGACTTAGACCTGCAAAACAAGGTTACAGCAACCTCTCGGATCTCTTGACCACTCGATCAGTCCGCCTTATAAATCGGATCTTATAATTGCTTATACTAGTAACCCTTAGGAAATCGTTTGAGAGTGAAACCTTGTTGTAGGTTTTGCATGCCTTTATTGAAAGGATGTCCAGTAACCCCAAGTTGGTAGAGACTGTCTAAGAGCGGGGAAAAGTATATATGGAGCGAAACTAAATTTTTAAAATATCTTACCTCCCGCAAGTTTGTCGATAGCTGACGATGCTATGGCAGCTGCTTTTGCTGAAATCAAACGTACATTCAGAGTTAGACAATGTTAAACGGCGATCAGCTTTGTGCAGACACGGCTATCCTTAAATTCTTATACAAACGTGAATGTTACGATGGGGAAGAAATTAAATTTGCAACATAACGGGTATAGAGAAATACCTTTTCGCCTTTCAAATTTATTTTCACGACTTTGTCGTTGCTCAAACTCTTCCACTTCCTTAAGCAGATCGGTTTTTTCCGTCTGGGTCAAAATCTCCTTCACGATTTCGAAGGAGTCGATTCCAAGACAGTCGTTGCTTTCTAACTCCTTGAACAATGACCTAACATCGTAGATGCTTCCTCTTCTATCTTCTGTTATATTTCCTCTGCAAATCGAGATGAGTCGTTCCAGATCATTAAGCTCGTCGAGGACTCGTATAATCTGCTCAAGCAAGTTGTTGTATTCCTTTCTTTTGCACGCAAACTTTTCAACCTTTTCAAGAAGAGCCCATTCCTCGACGCCTTCTAAAATGGCCTTCAATACCGTTAGACGATCGAAACTNAGACTGTCTAAGAGCGGGGAAAAGTATATATGGAGCGAAACTAAATTTTTAAAATATCTTACCTCCCGCAAGTTTGTCGATAGCTGACGATGCTATGGCAGCTGCTTTTGCTGAAATCAAACGTACATTCAGAGTTAGACAATGTTAAACGGCGATCAGCTTTGTGCAGACACGGCTATCCTTAAATTCTTATACAAACGTGAATGTTACGATGGGGAAGAAATTAAATTTGCAACATAACGGGTATAGAGAAATACCTTTTCGCCTTTCAAATTTATTTTCACGACTTTGTCGTTGCTCAAACTCTTCCACTTCCTTAAGCAGATCGGTTTTTTCCGTCTGGGTCAAAATCTCCTTCACGATTTCGAAGGAGTCGATTCCAAGACAGTCGTTGCTTTCTAACTCCTTGAACAATGACCTAACATCGTAGATGCTTCCTCTTCTATCTTCTGTTATATTTCCTCTGCAAATCGAGATGAGTCGTTCCAGATCATTAAGCTCGTCGAGGACTCGTATAATCTGCTCAAGCAAGTTGTTGTATTCCTTTCTTTTGCACGCAAACTTTTCAACCTTTTCAAGAAGAGCCCATTCCTCGACGCCTTCTAAAATGGCCTTCAATACCGTTAGACGATCGAAACTCAGAAATCCTTTCTCTTCTAATTCTTCAAACAACGAGAAGGTAGGGATACTTTCTTCGTTACGAGCCGCCAACTTTCCTCTGCATATAACAAGTAATTGCTTGCCAGCATTTATGTTGTCGAGTCTTTGGCTTATTTGGAACAGTAAATTGTTATATTCGAACTCAGACATTTTAAAACAACGACTACACCTTTTCTATTAAGTATTCCCGTCGTTCTCACATCCTTATCGAGGATATCGAGGTATTCTTAAAACAGACATGGTGGACATTTCAGACATGGATGCGATGATTTGTCACGCGAATTAAGTAGTGGTCACGAGAACATGAATTTGCATATATTTTCAGAAGTTAATTTTTATTTCTGGATTCCAAGCCACCTAGCCTAATTTCAAACCGAGGGAGATTGGGTATAAGTTATTTTATTATGGGATTGTCAACATGAAACCCTCATAGACAGAAAGAGCGCATCGGGCTCTGCAAAATAATCAAGTTTGGCGTTTATCGGGCCCGGTATTGAACGAGATACAGCTATTCCAAAACTTCAAAATTTACTTGCATTGGTATTATTAAAGAAGTATATACGCGTCCCGAGAATCCATACATGCATTGCTTGGTGAATCTTTAACTCTTTGAATAGCTGTATCTAGCCCAATGTTGTCCCTATTAACACCGAACTTGAGGATTTTCCAAAACGGCCATACACACCAAACGTGCTATTCCTTTCACTCTAGCTCTTAGACTCCGCCGCATTTGTTCAACCAACGAGACCTTCACACTACCAACCTCGTCCCCAGGGCTTTTCCCTCAATAAATGGGTGGGGCGGGAAAAGGCCCTGGCATCGGCTGGTCACGTGTACAGCCTAAATATTCCTGAGAAGCTAATTTATATGCAACCCGCTGGTTTTGCGCNTGTATTCCTTTCTTTTGCACGCAAACTTTTCAACCTTTTCAAGAAGAGCCCATTCCTCGACGCCTTCTAAAATGGCCTTCAATACCGTTAGACGATCGAAACTCAGAAATCCTTTCTCTTCTAATTCTTCAAACAACGAGAAGGTAGGGATACTTTCTTCGTTACGAGCCGCCAACTTTCCTCTGCATATAACAAGTAATTGCTTGCCAGCATTTATGTTGTCGAGTCTTTGGCTTATTTGGAACAGTAAATTGTTATATTCGAACTCAGACATTTTAAAACAACGACTACACCTTTTCTATTAAGTATTCCCGTCGTTCTCACATCCTTATCGAGGATATCGAGGTATTCTTAAAACAGACATGGTGGACATTTCAGACATGGATGCGATGATTTGTCACGCGAATTAAGTAGTGGTCACGAGAACATGAATTTGCATATATTTTCAGAAGTTAATTTTTATTTCTGGATTCCAAGCCACCTAGCCTAATTTCAAACCGAGGGAGATTGGGTATAAGTTATTTTATTATGGGATTGTCAACATGAAACCCTCATAGACAGAAAGAGCGCATCGGGCTCTGCAAAATAATCAAGTTTGGCGTTTATCGGGCCCGGTATTGAACGAGATACAGCTATTCCAAAACTTCAAAATTTACTTGCATTGGTATTATTAAAGAAGTATATACGCGTCCCGAGAATCCATACATGCATTGCTTGGTGAATCTTTAACTCTTTGAATAGCTGTATCTAGCCCAATGTTGTCCCTATTAACACCGAACTTGAGGATTTTCCAAAACGGCCATACACACCAAACGTGCTATTCCTTTCACTCTAGCTCTTAGACTCCGCCGCATTTGTTCAACCAACGAGACCTTCACACTACCAACCTCGTCCCCAGGGCTTTTCCCTCAATAAATGGGTGGGGCGGGAAAAGGCCCTGGCATCGGCTGGTCACGTGTACAGCCTAAATATTCCTGAGAAGCTAATTTATATGCAACCCGCTGGTTTTGCGCTGACCGAAGGGAGTAACAATGGAAAATAATAACATCGCAAACTATGTCAATATTTTCGCGTGTGTGCGATTCAAAAGCTTAAGATCCATTTAATTGCGCATTATTCAAATGCTACAAGTTTATGAAAGGGCGTACCGGCTCTACGTTGTCTCGTACAAAATATGTCAAATGCTTCAGCGTTGAGACAAGCTGTTATGTCCCACTGTTATCGACTAGTACTTCAACTAAACTTCATCGATCAAGTAGCCTGCGTAGCTGGCGGTATTGTGTAGTAGTCGAGTGAGATTTGGCGGCGGAGCCGTTGTAATATAGTCGAGTGAGATTTGACGGCGGAGCCGTCACGAGCGGCGAAGCCGCGAGAAATAACAACCGCCTCGTCCCTACTCCTTTTCTTTGGAACACGGCTCCGCCGCCAAAACTTTAATTTCGCACCCACACAATACCGCCAGCTACGCAGGCTATCGATCAAGCGGAAAGTGATTTTGTCCGATGTCAAACAAAAATGCGGACCTTTGCCTCCAGGATCTGCAGTGAATTTAAACAAATTGAACTTTATTGCAATAGAATTGTTCATCAAAATGCTTTATGAAGTCTGGTCTTCTCCACAACCCGACCATTAAACAAAGAAATCTCCGCGCCGGATGCAAGTCAGCCCTCCAGCCAGGAACGATGACAGGTCGCCGATCTGAAACATTTGAAGAACTCTTATATCTTTTCTCTTCCGAGGATAAGTACAAAGGATTGACT